GTTGTTAACCAATGTCATAAAGCAATATGTGTACTACTGTTTCATGAGGAACTATTTGTTCTGTAAGCCTTCACCTGAAGTACAATAAAAAAAAATAAAATAAAAAGAACATTAAAAAAAAAAAAAAAGACCAGACCTACTGGCCTGACAGAGACTGGAGAAACCCGGAGAGTAGTTTGGCCCCTGGACACCCTTTTAGCTCACTGTAGCACTATTCATGATAGCCAAAAGGTGGAAACAATCTAAATGCTCATCAACAGATGAATGGATAAACAAAATCTGGTACACACATACAATGGAATACTACTCAGCCAGTAGGAGAAATGAAGTCTTGATACACACTAAAATATGGATAGAGCTGGAAGACAATTATGCTGAGTGAAATAAGTCAATCATAAAAGGACAAATATTGTACAACCTCACTTACATAAAAAGACAAGAAATGGCAAATGTATAGAGAACAAAGTTTATTAGTGGTTACCAAGGGCAGGAGGGAGGGGGAAAGAGGTGGTTAACAGTGATGGAAGTCACTCCCGAGGCTCACCCTTCAGTCAAAGATTAGACAGCCCCATAAAATAAAACGAGATTAATGGGGCACAACAGCCCAGGGACAGGGACTAGAAGGCAGGAGGGGACAGGAAAGCTGGTAACAGGGAATCCAAGGTCGAGAAGTGTTGACATGTCATGGGGTTGTTAACCACTGTCATAAAACAACATGTGTCCTGTTAAATGAGAAACTAGTTTGTTCTGTAAACCTTCATCTGAATTACAATGGAAAAAAAAAAAATTCTGTCTTAAGCTCCAAAACTTATTCACTTAAATCAGGCGCTGGCAAACTTTTTCTGTAAAAGGCCAGATAATAAATATTTTAGTCCTTGTGGGTAAAATAATTTCTGTTGCAATCACCCAATTCTGCTGTTGTAGAATGAAAGCAGGCACCAAAACCAAAAACCAAACCCGTTGCCATCAAATCCATTCTGACTCATAGCGACCCTATAGAACAGGAGTACAACTGCCCTATGGGGTTGCCGCTGCAGCTCTTAACTACTACACCACGAGGGTTTCCAAAGCAGACACGGACAATATATAAATGAATAGTTCTTTTTCAATAAAACTTTATTTACAAAAACACGTGGTGGGTTAGATTTGGCTCAGAGACTGTAGTTTGCTGACGCCTGACTTAGATGAAGAATCCAATGTCAATGTAAAGCATAATGGAAACAATTATCTGAGTTACTTGGTCAAAACTGGTTAACTGCATACGTTCCCTTTGATGGTGGCAGCATTGTGAAGTATAACAAAGCTGGTATGCTTGCTTTGGAAAATCTAAGACCCGTGAATCACAACAGTACGTTACGGGGTGAAGGGCACTGTTATAAATTAGTTGAATAAAATACATAATTTATAAAAAATTAGAATGATTAACTAAATTTTATTTAATTTTAATTAATCAAAATATAAATTTAACTGGCCACATGTGGCTAGTGGCTAATATATCTGAGCTGTGAGGAGGAGCAAGGAGGCCATCTGCCTTAGCTTTAGGCTCAGTGGACTATGGCTATACACAAAAAAGGGTCAGCTCTTAAGAAGCTAGTAATGGAAGCAATGTGAGACAACAGCAAGGTTTGTTAGAGAAAACACTGAATACAAAGGGGATATATTTTCATAAGTGAACATGAATTCCAGAGGGCAGGATAAAACAGCTTCCAGAGTTGGGGACGGGTGAAACGAGACAAAAAAAAGGATGTACACATCATTCTTTCTATATGTATTACGCTTATTACAGATCTTTATGCCTTTTGAGGAGGACATGGTTCATATTTCATTCATTTATTATCCCTCACAGAAACCAACACAATGTTCTGGATGATGTTGGCATTCAACAGATATTTGTCAAATAAATTTTAAAAATTAAAAAGAGAATTAGAAACAATTCTGCAGAGAGGATATTACAGCTTTGAATAAAGGTTATGGACCCTGTAAATCATTCATTTTAAAAATTAAACCACACATGTTTGCCTTGAGATTAAAGATTAATATGAACAGTCACAATAGTCACACTTTAGTGTTCATGAGGCCTCCTAAGTAAAAACATGCATTAAATAACATATCTAAATTCAGTAACTGAAAGACTAAGTATAAAACAATTGTACTTAGCTCAAAAAGAGAATAATCTTGGAGTAGGACATAGAACTTTGTAACAAATTTCAATTGCCGAAACAACCTAGGATAGCATATTCTATGTGTGTACACACACACACACACACACACACATAGTGCTCACTGAACTACTGATTTCCAGAACAAATGATCAAACCCTTGTGGAAAACAGTGTGGCGGCTCCTCGAAAATCTAAACTAGAACTACCTTATGACCCAGCAATTCCACTTTTAGGTATACACCCAAGAGACTTGAAAGCAGAGACTCAGAGACGGGTACACCAATGTTCACTGCAGCACTATTCATGATAGCCAAAAGGTGGAAACAATCTAAACGTCCATCAAACAGATGAATGGATAAACAAAATATGGCACACACATACAATAGAATACTACTCAGCCAGTAGGAGAAATGAATTCTTGATACATACTAAAATATGGATGGAGCTGGAAGATATTATGCTGAGTGAAATAAGTCAATCACAAAAGGACAAATACCATACAACCTCACTTACATAAAAACAAGAAATGGCAAATGTATAGAGAACAAAGTTTATCAGTGGTTACCAAGGGCAGGAGGGAGGGGGAGAGGGGTGGTTAACAGTGATGGAAATATTGCATTGATTAAGGGTAGGGTTGCACAGCCAGTTACTGCAATTGCTGTCAATAAGTTGTACACCTATAAAAAGTTGAATCGGCAAAACCTGTGTGATAGATACATTTATAACAAAAAAAAAAGTAGCTGCTGAGGCTGCTTATATACAATCATCAAAAACCTCATGGGATTTGGTTCCTTGGTTTGGAGGTTTAGGGTCATGGTTTCATTGAGCATCCCAGTTAATTGGCCTAGTAATATGTTTAGTGCTTCTGTTCTACCTCCTAGTTTGTTGCACAGTGCCTGGGATCTTAAAAGCTTGCAAGTGGCAAGTGGCCACCCAAGGCATAACAGTGGGTCTCTATCTGCCTAGAGTAACAGAAGGAGAGTCAAGAATATAAGGAAATGGAATGTGCGGCTAACTGCCTCCATGAACAACTGTCTCCTCTGCCATGAGACCAGATGGTGCCTGGCTACCATTACTAAACATTTTGATCAAACATCCAATAGCAGAATCCTGATCAAAAGGGGGAAAATACAGAACAAAATTTAAAATTCTCATGGAATCCAGACTTCTTAGAGCCATGAAGGTTGGATAAACCCCTAAAACTACTGAATACAGGTTATGGACCCTGTAAATCATTCATTTTAAAAATTAAACCACACGTTTGCCTTGAGATTAAAGATTAATATGAACAGTCACAACTTTAAACTTTAAACCAAAAACATCCCCTGATGTCTTCTTATAAATAAACAATAGTTTAGCTTAACTAGTAAAAAATACCTGCCTTGAACATTATGCTCTTAAAAGAAGTAATCTATATAGGATCAAACTGTTAACAGCAACTCGAAAGATTAGATAGGAATCTTAGGGGGCAGTGAATTTATGCTAATGGGGAAGGAATAACTCATAAAAGAAGAGTGAGAATGGTTGTACAACTTGAAGAATATATTCAATGTCACTAAATGGTACAGGTAGAAACTGCTGAATTGGTGTATGTTTTGTTGTGCACATTTTCAACAACTACCAAAACCTGTTGCCATCAAGTCGATTCCAACTCCCAGCGACCCTACAGGACAGAGTAGAAATGCTCCAGAGGGTTGCCAAGGAGCAGCTGGTGGATTCAAACTGTCAACCTTTTGGTTAGCAGCCGAGCTCTTAACCGCTGTGCCACCAGGGCTCCTCCATCAGTAACAATGACAACAACAAAATAAATAAAATTTATTCTTTAAAAAAAAAAAAAAAGGTCAAACTCTAAAGGCATCAACAAAAGGGCATAACTCAGTTTTAAACAAACCAAATAAAAAGTTAAGAAAACACAGAGAATAATAATGATAGAATGCTAGATACCTGAAATAACAAACCTATGCATTTATCCAACATTTATAAAGTGTGGTCCTAATTAATTTCCCCTGACTCTTAACCAAAGAAAACAATGTAAAACCCTCAACTAAATAAACACATCTTAAAACGGGAATGTGCATTACCCAAACAAAATCCATTTCATAATGTAGACATTTCAGAAGCTGCTTACTTCAGCTAATACATAGTTTCACAGGAAGTTTTCTGACACTTTCCCTGGCAGATTTGATGGAAGTGCAGTACATGCATCCTTCCCCTAGTCCTTATGTTAGTCTACTTTGAGTTCTCTCACCAGCTGATTTTTCTTTCTACAAAATCATTGTAGTAGTGTAATGGAAAGCAAGTCTCAGCTCTGTAGAGAAAGAAAGTAACACACAGAGAAACTCACAAATTCGGCTGAAATGGAACCAAATGACATATTTTGCACTGATGGAATTCATACCACGACAAATATTTAAAAACATTTCCATTACTTACTAAGTTGGGATGTAGACTTGTTTCAGTTTACTCTCAGCTTCTGCTGCTTTTAGACGTTTCTAATGCAAAAGACAGATAAAATATTATACAAACAATGCCTAATAACTGTTATCACTTTGTCATCTTGAAAAATAACATGAAATTAAAGCACAATAATTCCAAAACCGCCATTTTTCTATCATACAGACTCTTAAACTGTAGTAACTGACATCAAAAGTCGCTAGATTCTGAGGTACAGACCTCCAAGCATTAATAATATTTTTGAGAAAGATTTTATAAAGAAAGCAATGAACAACTCCACTTGCCATTCCTCTCTTTTTGCTTTGCAAATTTAGTTTCTACTCTATTTCTTACTTGCTTTTCTGGGATTAAAACAAAAAACACTGCCTTCAGAAAAATGTTCAGAGATGATTATTTCTAAAGTCCATGTATGAGAAAGAGACAATAATCATTCTAAGCAGAATTAAATAAGCGGTTTCCTCAAATGTTGAGAGATACGTACTAAACTTGAAAACCTGGCTGAACTTACATCCGATTTTACTGGAACCAGTTAGGAGCCAAACGCAGGGAAAGAAAAGGGAAACAAATTGTATGATCAAATCCAGGGATTTGCAAATAGGGAAGGAAACACCATAAAGACAAACTAGAATATAAGGTAATCCTCTACTTTCCCAGTGAGTGAAAAACAAAAACATTTAGGGGCCAACCTGAAACTTTTAGAGATGGAGTTGATAGTTTTGGAAGTAGTTTTATCCAAACACTTTTCAACTATCCTTCATATTACCACCTCCACCATCTTTAGAAAGCCCTTTTAATTTGATCTAGTCTCTAGGTGCTACAAAAGGTTAATGTGTTTGGCTACTAACTGAAAGGTTGGAGGTTCAAGTCTGCCCAGAGGCACCTCGGAAGAAAGGCCTGGTGATCTAATTCTGACAAACCAGCCAGTGAAAACTCTATGCAGCACAGTTCTATTCTGACACACATGGGGTTACCATGGGTCAGAATCGACTCAAAGGCAACTGGTTTTTTGATGTGAAGAATACAGGTTCCTAGAGCACATGGTCTTTATGTCTATCTAAACTGTCTGAAATCAGTGTTTCTTTGAATTATGTATGATGTTGACACTGGCAATTTTTCAACAAGCCATGGCATCTGTTTACTATTCATGACCTCAACAACATAATGACTCCATACGGCACTTTTTAACGTGATCCTTAAAATGCATTTTTACAGTATCCAACACTTGCCAGTGTATAATCACACACCTGGAAAAACAACGTGTATCTACCCCTTCTCTTACCAGTTCTGACATGAGACCATAAGAATGTAAAACAAGTACTAACTGAGGTCATTTCAGGGAGATGTACCTTTCCCCAAAAGTAATATTATTCAAAATAAAGTGAGAGTGTTACCTTAATTTGGGACATTTGGGAAGAAATTCCTTGCTTTTAGAAATAATTTTGGAGAAAAATCATACACACAGTACCAACGCATCAAACTAGATTAACTACGACAGTTAAGGTCAAAGCCTTAGGGGATATACCCACAGAAATGTCTCTTAAGAAGGTTCCAGAAGGCCTCTTAAAATATCTCAAACTATATAGTTAATGGTGTTACTCTAAACTTTCAGTCCTTATAAAAATAAAAATTACTTGTTCAAAAGGCTTGAGACAGCATCACATCTCAGGTCATTCCTGTCAGCTACACTCAGAGATGAAGCATCAGTCACATGCAAGGAAAATAATGCTTCTGTAGTGGGAATCTTTCACTGTCATTTTTCCAAAATATTTATTGGAACAAATTCTGAAGTTATGGAAAAAACGTTTATGACTAAAATTTTTAAAACATCCTAAAGATATGAAATGTAGTTTAAAATAGTCTAGAAAAAATAAAAGCAAATAAAACATTTAAAATTAAGTATATTAAGAAATATTGAAATATAAACAAAAATTTCACTTTAATACTAGTATTTAGTAGCGATATGAAAAAATTACCTGCTGCACATATCTGTCAGTAGTTTTCCACATGTAATAATATTCAATGATGCTAGTCAATGATTTCCAAGGGAGCTGAAAAATATTTAACATGAAAATGAAAACACGCTACTGTAGAAACTGCTTTCCTTTAAAACCACTTCTTTGAAATTATTAGGCAAATATCCATATGGAAGATTCATTTTAGAATAAATTTTTGAATAAAACTGAAATTAATTATTAGCAAAGGGTACCCTAAACAAGCTATATTCAATATTCAGTTGGAGACTCTAGTACAATACCTTCCATTTCTCACTTAACATTTTGTTAAAAATTATAAACATTATGGCTGATAATTCACAGAAGAGTTCTGGCAGGTGCAGTTGCAGCACAATTTTAGACATGATATATTTAAATAGCTTCAGCCTGAGTTTTATCGCCTGTCTGCCAGTTTGTCGTACTGTGGTGGCTCGCGTGTTGCTATGATGCTGGAAGTTATGCCACTGGCATTTCAAATACCAGCAGGGTCCCCCATGGTGGACAGGTTCAGCAGAGCTTCCAGACTAACACAGGCTAGGAAGAAAAGCCTGGCAATCCACTTCTAAAAATTAGCCAATGAAAACCTATGGACCATTAATAGAACACTGGCTGGCTGGCTTGCTTTGGACATGTCATCAGGAGGGATCAATTGCTAGAGGAGGACATACCACGTTTGGTGAAAAGGACATCAACAGTGCAAGAGATTGGCACAATAGCCAAAACGATGGACTTGAACTTGCTAGTGACCGTGAGGATGGCACTCTGCTCTACATAAGGCTGCCATCAGTCAGAGTCAACTCAACAGCAGCTAACAACCTGAGTTACTTTAGCTTTCAAAGATTCCAGCTACAACTGTGTTTTATTTGGGCATTGGCGTACTATTCCTCATCCTTTATGAAACTACTCTATTTTGACCTGTTTTGTTCTAAATAAAATAAAAGCCTAAATCTCTGAAAAAGAACATCGCCTAGTATAGTTCCTATTATAAAAATAGGAAGGCTGCCTTTACTGTTTTCCCTAAAAATTAAAAAATGGCTAAATGAGCTCCTATCCATGAAAACCATAATCAAAGAATGTATTCATTATGTCCCTCAAGTAAAGAGGGATCTGTTAGTCATCCAAGATGCAAATTAGGGCAGACCAAACTTTTAAAGAAAATAACTCTTAACTCTCACAATTTTTAGCTGTTGTATAAGATCTTACAGATAGGTGACTCAGCACTCCCGTCGATTCCCATCCAGCTTGCCCTAATGTACCAGAGGGTTAACAGAGTTAAAAGTGTGTTTCCCAGACTCTGATGCAATTAGGGGTCCACTTGTAATCCACATGCACAACACTAATGCTGTTCCTATCACTTCTACATCCAACTCACTTGTTTGGTCTGAAGAGCAAAGAGATGGATTGTAAAGGATAGAAATTATTTTAAGCTTAATGGGGTGGCAACTCCAACACTAGTCAGAAATGTAGTCTCCTCCAGGACCAAATCAGCACAGCCATTGGCATTTGGATTGCAGTTAAATACATTTTCTCAAGTCCAATGAGCCAAAAGTGAAAGAAGGCAACTACCACTTAGCCCTTAGAATCCAACAGATGTAATGGAGTTCAAAATGTATGAGGGATGCTGTAAGGAGTCTATGGCAAGTCCTCACGGGGGAATGACAGCCTAGTCCCCCAGGTTTTTAAGCACACTAAAACCTCCACATCTCCTAACTATTCTTCTCTTGATAAATAGTCCTTGGCGTGCAACTGGGTCTACAAATTGAAAAAACGGAAACCAAGTGACCATGTAACCTGAGTTTCCCATCATAAACCAGGTTTTACCTAATCCATAAAGTCCTAATCAGCTGCACCATCACTCTCCTATTAAGGAGAAGGAGTAGGTTTTGGAGGCATGAGTCACATGAGCAGGTGGTTCATACTCCACACTGTGTCTACTCCTGATGCAGCATCATTTCTCCCTCAAGTCTCACTACGGCTTCGTGGGAGTTTCCTATGACACGTCAATTAAGGAAGAAAAAATCTGAATGTGGCAGATAGCTTGGCATGATATACTGGCACTAGCCAGAAGTGTATCTATTATCATCAAGTTGATTCCGACTCTTGGTGACCACATGTGTTACTGAGTAGAACTGTTCCATAGTGTTTTCTAGGCTGTAGTCTTCATGGAAGCAGATCACCAGGCCTTTCTTCTGCAGTGCTAGTGGGTGGGTTCAAACCACCAACCTTTAGGTTAGTAGCCGAGCACAAACCCTATGCAGCACCCACAGACCTTACCCCTATGCAGGAGAAGCCCTGAAGGACGTTGAAGAAGGGTAATCCTTTTTAAAGGGCAAGGCATTAAACTGCACATGTAGGTTTCTTCTCGAGTGGAAAGAGAGAGGGCCAGAAGTACTAATCCGTACCCACCCATGGACAGTGGTTATTTACTTGTCCCAATGGTCAGGAACTTGGAAAGAATCAGACTGGAGGACTGGCAACAATGAGGTTTAGGAAAGAAGTTTGTGGGATAGACATCTCAGGATGGGCCTGAGTGTGAGGATATTTGTGTTTCCATATTCACCCAAAAGCTGCCTCTACAGAGGAGCTTCTCATTAATCAAGTGGACAAGACGACTTGCTTAATGCTATCAGTCTCCTCTTTCCCTAGCTACACCAATGACTGCTCAAAGGAGACATCAATAAACTAGACACAGAGGCAAGGAGACAGAGGTTACAAATGGATAGCACCACATGAATGTCCTCTCACCAAATCCGATTTCTTCAAGTGTCCAATCTGCAAGGAGCCAACAACACAGGGCCCCCGACATGGCAACACTTTGGGTAGCAAGTCGGTTACATTAGATTCTCCGCGTGCATTCTCACTGAATAGACACTTATTTTAGATATGGATTTGTCTTTTCTGCCTGTCATGTGGTGGCTAATAATACCATTCATGGAACTTACTCCCACATAACATTGCTTCTGATACAGGGATGAAGGTTTAGGCTTGGGTCACCTTACCAGGTAAAGAACTCTGATCACGTAAAGTACTGAGTGCAGGGGAAGAGTGGAGGGATTCGGCTTTGAATGCCAACCAAGGTCTTAGGATGAATTTCAGAAATGGAGAAAGGAAGACCACCTGTTTCCTTTTTGTTTTTACATAAGGTCTACTGGTGTGGAGGTTACAATCTTACACAAGTCACAAGCTATAAAAACAGGGTTATGACAAGAACCAGAAGAGGAATAAACATCACCCAGAGATGTATGCTGTGATCCCACAGAATGCGGAAATTATCAAACAACATCATTAATATCACACACAAGTAAAATTTTGCTGAAGATCAATCAAAAGCAGTTGCAGTAGTACATCGACAGGGAACTACCAGAAATTCAAGCTGGGTTCAGAAGAGGACATGGAACCAGGGATATCACTGTTGATGTCAGATGGATCCTGGCTGAAAGCAGAGGATACCAGAAAGATGTTTACCTGTGTTTTACTGACTACGCAAAGGCATTCAACTGTGTGGAGCATAACAAACTATGGATAACACTGCAAAGAATGGGAATTCCAGAACACTTAATTGTGCTCATAAGGAACCTGTATTTAGACCAAGAGGCAGTCGTTGGAACAGAGCAAGGGGACACTGCGTGGTTCAAAGTCAGGAAAAGTGTGCGTCATGGTTGTATCCTTTCACCATACTTATTCAATCTGTATGCTGAGCAAATAATACGAGAAGATGAACTATATGAAGAAGAACATGGCATCAGGATTGGAGGAAGACTCATTAACAACCTGCAACATGCAGATAACACAACCTTGCCTGCGGAAAGTGAAGAGGACTTGACGCACTTACCGATGAAGATCCAAGACAACAGCCTTCAGTATGGATTACACCTCAACATAAAACAAAAATCCTCACAACTGGACCAATAAGCAACATTATGATAAATGGAAAAACACTGGAGTTGTAAAGGATTTCATTTTACTTAGACCCACAATCAACACCCATGGAAGCAGCAGTTAAATCAAAAGATGTACTGCATCAGGCAAATCTGCTGCAAAGACCCCTTTAAAGTGTTTAAAAAAAAAAAAGCAAAGATGTCACTTTATGGACTAAGGTGTGCCTGACCCAAGCCACGGTGTTTTCAATCACTTCATAAGCATGTGAAAGCTGGACAATGAATAAGGAAGACCAAGGAAGAACTGACACCATTGAATTACAGTTGGCGAAGAATACTGAATATATCATGGACTTCCAGAAGAACAAACAAATCTGTCTTGGAAGAGTACAGCCAGAATGTTCCTTAGAAGCAAGGATGGCGAGACTTCATTTCATGTACTTTGGACATGGTATCAGGAAGGACCAGTCCCCGGAGAAGGACATCATGCTTGGTAAAGTAGAGGGTCATCGAAAAAGAGGAAGACCCTCAATGAGATGAACTGACACAGTGGCTCCAACAATGGGCTCAAGCATAACAATGTTTGTGAGGATGGCACAGGACTGGGTGGTGTTTCGGTTTGTTGTACACAGGTTCGCTGTAAGTCAGAACCAACTTGACCGCACCTACCAACATTTGGGGGAAATGGTACCATGTTTTCAAATGTTTCAGAAACAACTGCTATTGTTTAAAAGTTGAAGTATAGAAAGGAAGCACGTACAGAAGGTAAATATGAATGATCAGTAGCTAAAGAATTAGATGGCAGCAGATAATGTATACCCATTCCAACCAACTTCTTTCCTTCCTGTGCTATAGGCTACAAGCTCTAGAATACATTTCCCAGATATCCTTAAACAAGGATGTAGACATACGGGTGGGCTAGGTTTAGTCAAGCTGACAAACCTGAATGACATTTAGATACAGACGTGAACAACATCAGGATGAGCCTGTACACAGGGAGACTAGACAGGCTGGCAAGCAGTGAGGGCATGGGTGTTTCCATTACAATAGTCCCTCAGAGTGCTTCAACATTAATTTTTGCTGGCTGCACTGTCCCTGGAAGTGTAGCCTCCAAGCATGGTTCTCTGGCCTTCTCAGAGATTGTGAGAAGCTAATACACTATATTATTGTTTTCTCCTT